AATTGCTAAGTAAATTTAATTGCTTTTTTGTTTTCTATATTTTCTAGCAACTTTAATTTTTGTCTGCGATGAATGAAAGCAACAAGAGAAAAGATGCAATGTACATAATACATTAGAAGTTAAATAGCTTAATAAACTTAGGTTCAGAGCAAATAAAAATCCATTAAAAAGTACATGTTTAAAGATTTGGATCTAATTTCATTACAAAATATATTTTTTTTTGTTAGTAATAGCAGAACTAGATGGGACGGGACTATCAACAGGACCAGCCTTTGAGGACAAGTGGACCAAGCTCATGCTTGCGACCCTTAGGTTTATTTCTTAAAAAAAATTGGTCGTGGTTTCCCAAAAAAATCTTTTTAATCTAGTGGTCAAAACCCAGTTTATATCTTAGAACAAGTCATGTGTTCAGAAATCAATGTTATTTTTTATTTTGTTTTAAAAATGGCACACTTTTTATATTTAGTTTGCGGCCCATTAGAACTCAGTGCTGGCTCTGACTATCAATGAGTTGCTTTCCTTTTCATGTTATAAATCCGAAAATTGATTTGCATAATTAACAGATTCGTTCAAATTTTATCGCAATATATTCATGGATTTAAAAATTACATGTATCCACTGATTTGTGATGAATTGTGTGGTAAATCAATCTCAATTTTTTGTACATCGGTCTTTCATGGGAAACCAAGTAGTTGTGGTAGAATTTAACTAAAAAATGTTAGTTGCAAAACTTCATCATAATATTCTTCTATGTATGCAAAATAGTCTCCTTAATTACTCCTTCATAAACAATCTTGAAAGGAAAAGAAACAAAAAATCTAGAAAGACAAGAGAACAACTCTTTCAAGATATCTCTAAACAAGAGTAACCAGAAATGCCAAGGGTATCACCAAATATCAATTATCCAAACCAGCTGATCATAGACTAATTAATACCAATTAAAATTTTGAGTTTTCAAAACATTTTTTTCTACCTACATTTCTACCCGTAATTTTCGTGCTATCTTTGTAAAAAGAAATTTAAGATTTCAAAACATTTTTCTCTCACTACAAGAAAATATTCAGTGGCTGACAAGCCTATTCGTCGGTTAGGCGTCGGAAAAGGATCTAACCGACGGAAAACCGAGGAACAATTTCCGTCGGTTCTATCTTGTCGGTAAATCGATTCCGTCGGTTTTTCGTTGGTTTTCACCAACGAAAAACCGACGACCCTGAACCGACGATTAACCGACAGTAATCCGTCAGATAATCCCGACGGAAAATCGATGGTTATACCGACAGTAAACCGAGAACAGAAAAACCGACGCCAAACCGACATGGTTTTTTTGCCCAAAACCGACGCCAAACCGACGGGTTTTTGGCCCAAAACCGACACCAAACCGATGGTTATACCGACAGTAAACCGATGATAAACCGAGTACAGAACAACCGACGCCAAACCGACGGGGTTTTTTGCCTAAAACCGACGCCAAACCGACGGGTTTTTTGCCCAAAACCGACGCCAAACCGACGGTGTTTTTTGCTCAAAACCGACGGGTTTTTTCATAATAAGGGGATTAATTTTTCACTATTTTCCCAAAACTATTAATTAGTTATTGATTTAAAATTATTTTTTTATAAAACAATTAAATGAAATAATAGAATTAAAATTATAATTATTATTAATAATATTTTAAATAATAAATTCAGAAATTATCGCAAACTAAAAAAAACTACGGGCTTCAGTTTGGAGGCGAGTACGGGTTTGGAGGTAGCTGCATCCGTAAACCAAGCATCTCCTGTCTGAAAGTTTCAAAACT